ATGGCGTGGTGTTGGGGCGATGGACGGGGCTGGGGTGTTCTCATCGGATGAGTGAGCGTGCCCTTTGTGCATAGGCATATGTGGATAGATTCATGGAGGCGATTTGGATAAGCGAGTGCATGGATGCCATCTGTCAATTATCTCTTCCCAGCACAGCGAAATGTATCATGCATTGACACAATTGTGCTGTTTTGGGTTGACGGCAGTGTCAACTTTCGGTGGCTGGTTCTCGTGTTTGACGCAGCGCAGAGCGACAATCGGTTGCGTGAGGACAGAGCAGACGAAGGAGCACTCACACGCAGACTTGCGCGGCGAACGCACCAGAATCCCGAGAGAAAACAACCGATTCTCCGGGTTTTTTGCCGCCGTTTTTCGCGCAAACGAGTGAACGGATTTGAAGCTTGAAGCAAACTCGTTCCGCGCAGTGACCCCCTCCACACATATCACAAAGCAGATCTTGAAAAAACATTCTAGACCCCGGCGGGACCGGGGGATGCACACGACAGCCCTTGTCCGTTTTTCCTTAGAACAGAACACGTGCGTGAAATCCATCTAATGAAGGGCATGACAGGCATGTGCAACTGCACTGCCATGTACGTGTAAACTGCGCTTTTGTGAGCAGACTGGGATGGGCGACGTCGAGACACGTTTTGGTTGACGGTGTGGTGATGTCGATGTGGCACCGCGTGGCGGTTGCAACCGCTCACTTCTTCACGGATAACCAGAAAAGAGATCGTGCTCGCAACGGATGAAATAACATAAACGGAACAAAGAATGTAAGGAAAGGGTATATGGATGCTGTAATCAGAGCCCGGATTACTTCGATGCACGGAAAGGAGACACGCTCCTCTAAAACTCGGGAACGGTTTTCGAAGCTGAGGCAGTGTCAGGCCTTAGAAGGGCCCATGTTGGATTATCAAAGTGTCGGCTTTCCGTCAAACCTCTACATTCTCTCCTTGTTGGGTCTTTGTTTAGCGTATAGGACTTTACACAAGTGAGCAGAGCATCTTTTTCCCCTTTTGACAAACCCCAATCATCGCAACAAGCCGTCTCTCAGAGTGTCTCAGACGACTCTTTAGTATTTTTTAGTTGGTCACACCATGTGGTCTACTGACAGAACTGAAATCGTGGTTATTGTAGAAGAGACTTGGCACTTACAACGACACACAAAGAAAAGCTCACAGAACACTGTGCACATTTCGGCTTTTACACGGGCCTGGCCGGGGGTGGCGCTCAACGGAGGGCGAGCTGAAGCACATGCGTGGCTGCAAAAGAACAGAGCGGGGTGCGAAATCGTGCCTGACGGGATCAATTCGTTATCACCTGAAACGGACTTTTTCTGATGATAGTGATTCTGCAATGGGACGTGCCGCCTGATAAGGCATGAACGAACGAATCACTCTGTCATTCTCTCGAGTCACACGATTGTGTGCTTGCTTGTCAGTCAACAATCAATGATGGATCATTGTCATTCATTCATCAATTCATTCATTCAGTGAATCACTGCATCACTGCAGACAACCCTCCTCGGTTGCTTCGCTTGGGAGACGGCCGTGGTCCTGGCCTGACTGGCCACAAGGTGGCCGGCCATGGGCGTCGGCTGCCCGTCGGCTGCACGAGGGAGGTGGTGGGTGCTTTTTTATAGGCGTCGGCTGCCCCGGCGGGAGGAGGTGTACGTATACCTTATGGAGGGTACACATTTGTACAAATACCTGTATACGTACACCTCCCTCGTCGGCTTGCCGAGGGAGGTGGCGGGGGTTTTTCTATAGGGTGGCCGGCTTTTTCTATAGAAAAAGTCCGTTTCACGTGATAACGAATTGATCCACACGTTTGACAACCCACGATGCACACCGTTTGGTGGTTGGGGTGTGTGAACCTTTATTGGTTGGTTGTCCCTTTGAGGCGAAGAGAGCGACGGCCACAGGCGTGAGGACCGAGGTGGGAGAGGTGTATCCACATTATAGTTTGGGATTTTTGACGGCTGTCTAAACTTTCGGTGACGGTTCTCCTTTTGACGGGGCGGAGAGCGATAGCCGTTTGCGTGTTAATACAGCATAGCGAGATGTATCATGCATTGACACAATCGTGCTGATTTAGGTTGGCGGCTGTGTGAACTTTCGGTGGCTGTTTCTCTTTCTCAAGACGGCACATGGCGATGGCCGCTTGCGTTCGCACACAGCATGACGGGATGTATCAGACATACATGCTTTTGCATCGAATGAGTGAGAGTCCCGAAACAAATCGCCGAATTCCGTGTAACCGACACCAGTGCGCTTGCCGCCTTTTACCCGAACGACAGGGCGCAATTGCGACTAGAAGCAGACTCGTCTCTGGCAGCGTCCGTGCGCATATATTTCATCAACCAGATCGACCTTGAAGCGTGTGCAAGGAGATTGCGGTGGAGCTAGCGGTGAGCAAGTTTTCAACGGCTATGGTCTCGTTTGCGCGGCCGAAGAGCGACGGCCGCTTGGGTACGAAGAGACCGTCAAGCAGTTGTGCCGTGAACGATACATTGTGTGACTGATGGTTGATGGCTGTGTAACCTTTCAGTGACTGGTTCTTCTTGTTGACAGAACGAAAAGCGATCCGCGCTTCCGTGTGAACACAACGTAGCGAAATCTATCATACATTGACCCAGTCGTGCTGATTTGGGTTGACGGCAGCGTGAACTTTCGGTAGCTGGTTCTCGTGGTTCACAGAGCGCAGGTCGATAGCCGCTTGCGTGAGGACGGAGCAGACGAAGGAGCACTCACACACAGACTTGTGCGTCGAATGCACCAGAAACCCGGGAGAAAACAGCCGAAAACCGATTTTCCGGGCTTTTGCCGCCGTTTTTCGCGCGAACGAGTGAACGGATTGGAGGCTCGAAGCAAACTCGTTCCTCGCAGTGACCCCCTCCACACATATCACAAAGCAGATCTTGAAAAAAACCCCTAGAAAAAAAGTTGGTTCCACGGCCGTGAAACTGGGGCTGTATAACCACCCTCCAGCTCAGCTTTTTGGCTAGAGCAAGATCCGTAAAACTGATCTGAGCTGTCGTGTACATTCTAGAAAAAAAAAAGTTGGTTCCGCGCCGGTAAACTGTGACCTGATAACCACCCTCCAGCTCAGCTTTCAGCTAAGAGCAAGATCCGTGAAACTGATCTGAGCTGTCGTGTACATGCATCGCTCTTCATGCCATTTAACTCATTTATCCTGCTCACTCATTCGCCACAATTAGGAATCCCAGGCTCCTCAGGCTCCTTCCCAGGGCGTTCCCAGAGAAAGGAATTCCCAGTCCCAGGGAGCCTGTAAGGAGCCCTAAAGCGGGATGGGACTCCCAGGTGCAAAAAAGACACGCTGAAACAGAAGGGTTTAATGTCTCTCTCCCGGCTTGCCCTTGTTACCCCTCCGCATGAAGGGCCGTCCTTGTCCCACTTCTAAGCTTCAACCTGCCCCTTTCCAGCTCGAGCTTATGTTGCCGCGTCTTGTCTCGCGGTGTCTGTCCGATGTGCTATGAGTAATATCGCAAAGGTCGAGGCTGCTGGATGAAGTGTTTAAGTGAGAGTGAGTTGATTGGATGTGTGAAGGTTTCTTTTACTGAAGGCTCAAGCTATCAACGATAGTAGTTACCAGCAAACACTTCATCCAGCAGTCTCGAGCTTTGCGCCATTACTCATAGAACATCAGACACAGACATCGCGAGACAAGACGCGGCAACAAGACAGGAGGACATGGATGTGGAATCAATGCATCTGTATCGACCGTCTGCCGTACACACGAACGACCTATCCGCGGATCCCCTCATACCCGTGACCATCGCCTCCGCGTGTGTGTGCAGCCGACCTGTGTGTCCATGGCATATGCTCGCACTTGGCAGACCGCCGCGACACATCCAGAACAACAATTTTCCGCGGTCTACTCAATCGTTTGCCCGACAGGAGCCCGGTGTGCCTTTCATTTGCTGTGCTTTCAGCCGCATGGTTGAGAAGCTGCGCACCAGGGCTGCGTGGGCAGACAAGTCGTATAGCCAGGTGCTGGGGTCGGTCCGTGCTCGTTTGTCTGTTGCGTTGGCACGTAGTGCGAGTATGTGTGTGGTGGGCGGCGCCGCTGGAAGATACGGCAGGCGGGCGCTGAGGATGGTGCTGGCATGTTGTCGCGTAGAGTTGGTCGATTGACACAGTTCATTTCATGAGAGACCGCCACAGACTCTGCTGCTACGTGTTAATGCATCTTTCCCCCCTTCATTTGCTGTGCAGTGTCGCCTGACTCTATGGAGCTGCCATGTTGACATGTTGGCACGGGAGAAGCCGCTCAGTGGCGGACAGATGTATGTCGACAACGCGTCAATACCCCTTTTTTGCATTTCTGGTTTGACGAAACCGTTGCATTGGGTGGGCCGAGATGCCTGGGCACCTCCACCGAACTCGAGGGCCGTAAGGGCGCCCCAAAACCAGTGAGGATGGTGTGCCTGTTGGCGGCGTTTCACCAGTGGCAAGGCTGTTTGCATGCGATGGAGGGACAGGAGAGAAGTGTTAGCAAGGAGAGTAAGATAGCCAGGAGAGTGAGGAAAGCAGTGACGATAAGTAAGCGAGGGACTCCAGAGAATGCAGTTGCAGCCGCCATAACAATTCAGGAACCGAATGACGTGTGGTACACAGCCAGGTACAGTGAAACGAGCAAGCTTTTATCCTCTACACGTCTCCCCAAGCACCTTCGTTGTTAGAAGAAAGTGGTAGCGAGGGATGCCCTGTGAGGCTGTGATGGCTAAACGGAGCGTTGAAGGCATGTAAGTGCATCTTTTCATTTGCCTTATGTGTTTCTGCTCATTCGTTGTCTCCGATGCTCGTGTCTCTGCTTCTCCGCGCCTGTACAGGGAGGCATCACGTGCCTGCCGAGACCCCTGAAAGAGAGAAGTAGGATCAGATGACGGAAGAAACGGGAAAACACATTGTGCACAATTTGCTGGCATACATGCCATCACCTAGGTGCTACCCCTCTAGACGCGTATTTGTCTGGTTTTCCCTTCTTGCTGATCTATCCGAGAATGGGCACTTCGCGAACAGTGGATGACTGTGAATGTCTGCAAGACAGGAACATTCCCGATGCTCTGTGGTCGCTTCTGTTTCCACCCGTGATTTGAGATGTTCGTCGCAGAAAGTCTGCCTTTATTTCGGTCGTGAGGCATTGTCTTGTCATCGCACGGAGCACTGAGCGTGCGGTCGTGCTGTTTGGTGCATCCCAAAGAATCTGAGACACCAATAACGAAAACTAGCAATCATATGTAGAATATCAGGCTTTTCTGTACGAAAAACCTTTCGACTATAGTAGTCCATCAGCCGCAGCTTTTCTTTGACTGCTGCATGATCCGTGTATATCTCCTTCAGTATTGGCACAAGGGCCTTTCTGGGATCTTGCTTGTATTCGGAACCGTCAACAACATAGGTGAATTTTTGCCACGGTATCTCACACTGAAAGCAAATTAATATCGGAATGTCCAATGTCGAAATGCAATGAACCCATGGCTCGAGTCTGACCTGGAAGGGAATGGCGTATTTGAACATGTCTTTCGCCTCAGTAATTAAGACATTAAGGGTGCGAGTGCGGATTCCGTCCACATAGCGAGAGCTCGTGACGTCATCTCCTCTGAAGCACAGATTCAGCTTGGAATTAGCCAGTCGATGCAGGAATGTCGCAGCCCTAAGGAGTGCGAGATTTTTCTCATTTATTGATCGTGCACGCTTCAGCCCTCGACATCTTTCAAACTTGCCAAGCGAGACACCCGATACCTCTCTTTCTTCGTGTTTCCGAGGACAGTCCGGAAGTGCCTGCTTTACCTCCTTGCCACTGACGTCCAGAAACAAAAGATGCTTGTGTGTAGTAGATGAAGAGACAAAGACATTTGAGCTCCTGGGGCACTCTCCTTCAGCGCAAAATTCCGCGACAAAATCCCATCCGGTAAGGTGCTTGAAGCCTAGCCGTCGATACAAGTATCCACGACGAAGGCTGGCTTGACCTGAAAGGAATGGTGAGGCATTTAGCAGCTCTTCTTTGCTGTGCTCACCTTGAAAGAACATCAAGTAGTCCCGAGCAAACCAATCGTACTTTGAGGGAGGATTCAGTGATGTGCTAAGCTTGTCGTCTTCGAAGACATCCTCAGGTTCGATGAGTTGGCGCTCTAGAAGAGTTTCCTTCTCAAACGGCTGGTAGGCTTTCTGCAGGAAGGTCAGGGATGAACTGAAAAGAAGCACACTGGAGACAATGGGCGACGCGAAGAAGCATAGCATGACTCACGTAAAAGGTGCCGTGACCGCACACCCAATGTGGCCGAGATCTGTGAGATTGAATATCTCAAGAAATGGCCAGTGAAGTCTGGTCCTCCCTGTTCGCTCACCCCGCTCTGCCAATTTGCGCCCCCATGTGATGTTCTTCGCCAAAGTCGCAAACTCGTACCCCAGTGCATCACGAATGCCGCCGGCATATCTAAAACGCCAGTCTATTCCCTAATCAACATGTAACGCAATCATCGAAGCACCCAGCTTTCTTTCTCTTTCTCTTGTGTCCCCTACCATAACAATATGGTCAAGCCCGCCGTTTCTCCGAAAATAGGGCATTCCCACGATCTGAACGTGCAACGAGATAGCCTTTGAGGTACCTATTAGTGTCATGTGAACCTCCTTCACTGCTTCTGCAGCCAGCTTATGAGTCTTTTTTCGGCTCCTGCCTTCGCACGCTCTCTCAAGGGACAATACTGTAGAAAGTCAGTCATCTTCTTTTTCCATATCGTCTTCTGCTGTGTACCAGGGTAGACGGGGATGACAAATACAAGGGCCTTGTCGGGATCTGCAACCCGCCATGAATCGTTTGCCAGCTGATCAAGCCAGTAGACCTCATCTGCCACAACACCTAGACAGCTGAGGCAGCCCTTGCGTTCGTTGGTACCATAGTTCTTTTTGTTTACATCACCCATCCCCTTGGGTAGATAAGGGGGCCACTCTCCTTCGAGAATGCTGCGGGCTGCACTCTGACATAGATTATAAAGTTCACTCACAGACGGCGTGTCATAGATGTAGAACGGCACCTCCAAACGGCTCTCCAGTCCCCTCAGGGTGGCAGGTGACAGATTGGTCCAGCTCATCTGCTCACGCCGAACAGGTAACAGATTTCTCGGCGCTGACCCCGTCATGTCCGCACCACGTCTTAGGAATCCGATGAAGACAAAAAGACTGAGGACACAAAGCAAGAGGCTCAAAGTCAGCCATAGTCTACGAAAAGTGCGAAAACGCCACGTCGACATTCTTTTTTTCCCACAAACATCCAAGTCGCCAAAGAAAGTGAATCACTGGCAGGCTGCGCGCGCGCGCAATTGTTTTTCGGCGGCTTTCCTCGCCCAGGAAACAGAATCATTATTGTCGCGTGGCGATGCCCATGACGGGGCTGCATACGTGTGAAGATCGAAACAAGCAAGCCATTATGATATAATTCGCTTCGCAAACGGACTTTTTCATGAATCGGACTTTTGTGCAACGTGAACGACTCCATGAATGAATGGCTCGCACAGGTACATGCGTTCACGCAACACATGAAGGAGCCAGTCCCATGCCTTCTATATCCGCCTCCTTCTCTTCTACATCCGCCTCCTTCTTGTCATCTGTGCTTTGCACACCTCAGGGTCATGCATCCGGCGACCTCTTTGCCGACGATGCTCTCCCATGCCGTCTCCTTCCTCTCCTGCCTCTGCCTGCCGTCCTCTCCGTAGCCACCATTGATGCTGCTGCTGCCTTTGCTTCCTACTTGGCTGTCTTCTTCTGCTTGGCTGCGGCCACGGACGCGACGATGGGTTGCCATATCGTCGTCTTGCTCTTCCTCATGCCCGACCTCCGAGCCATTGGAAATGCTGGTCTGCACGAGTACCCGAGACAGGCCGTCCACACAAGACCGCACTGAGGTGTAGACCATGCACAATGCTGACGACGCCGTCCCGTGCAGAAGGTGTGTATCGACATTCGAGAAGAGCATTCCTCATATATCCACCCAAAGGCACTCGGGACATTACAATCGAACGAATCAGCGTAGAAAGAACAAACGGGAGGATCTGACCCGATGTATCGGGGGAGACATGGGTGGGTTCATATTGTGCGTCTATACCCCTTTTTTGCATTTCTGGTTTGACGAAACCGTTGCATTGGGTGGGCCGAGATGCCTGGGCACCTCCACCGAACTCGAGGGCCGTAAGGGCGCCCCAAAACCAGTGAGGATAATGTGCCTCTTGGCGGCGTTTCACCAGTGGCAAGGCTGTTTGCATGCGATGGAGGGACAGGAGAGAAGTGTTAGCAAGGAGAGTAAGATCATAGTGTGGCGCTGGATCACGAGGCTGGTGAGGCACTAGATTCGCGAGGCCTTGGAGGGGCCTGCCCGACACAGCTATCCATAACCGACGGCGCGCATTGTCATCCTGCTGCGGCTCAGCATTTACTGCATCCCCATTCCTGCCCATAAGACCTTCCTCCACTCCGGCGTGCTCGTGCAAGTATGGCCGTTCGAGAGCGACGAACAGGCTGGACTCTTCAATTGCCTCCTCGCTGCTTTTGGATCGCTCACTCATACATAGACATGCGTATACAGGTGACTGCTTCACGGCACAAGGGAGGATCGACTCACCTGCTTGCCGGCCTCACCTGCTTGACGGCCCGCACCTGCTTGACGGGCCGTCAAGCAGGTGAGTCGATCCTCCCCTGTGCCGTGAAGCAGTCACCTGTATACGCATGTCTATGTATGAGTGAGTGATCGAGAAGCAGCGAGAGGCATTAGAGAGGAGCACACCACACCTCCCTCGCCCATTATCATCGTGTCTCGGTTGCTTATTGCGTGTCTCATTCAAGGCGTTTGTATTCAGGTGACCAAGTGATAACGCGGCCCGCCTTGCAGCAGGTGACGTTGTGGCGTCGCCAGCTCACCTGCTGCGAGGACGCCATCGCGACACACCACACCAACGGCAAATACAAGAACAATGTGCACCGGGTCGACTTCCAGCAGTGGGTGCTCAATCGATTAAGACCAGCGACAGCGTCGGCAGCGATAGCTGCAGAGGTCAGCAAGGCGAATAGCAGATCCATCCACCCGTGTAGGTGTGTCAGCTTCGCCACGTGTTTGTGAGATCGGTTGAAGTTGTCTTCGCCGCGCTTTTCTCAGATCGGTCGATCCTGAAGACGTTGTATGTGAACTTTGGACCAGGTTCTATGTGAACAAAGGCCACGCTCGAATCGATCAAGGGCGTCCTTTGTACAGGTCCCCAAGAGGCATCTACCTGGTGGTACGACCGATGTAGCGCAAGGCGTCTGACAAGGCTGTTGCTCTCACAGATGATGGGTGATAATGGGTAAGACGGCTGAGAGCCTCTGTCTCCATTTCGTTTTCCTTTTCTCTTTGGTCTGCCGCAGTGCGGACGCGTGAAAGGGCAGAAGAAAGATGGAGCCTCTCTTGGTCAGCCTCTCTGGACAGTGTAGCCTTCGCGTGCGGGAGCATGGGCACGTAGAGCGCCATGACATTGTGCGGGCAGGGTTGCAGACGGACTGCGGGATGACTGTGTGGACAATGACTGACACGATGGATTTTTTTGACTGGCTCCTTCATGTGTTGCGTGAATGCATGTACCTGTTCGAGCCATTCATTCATGAGTTCGATCACGTCGCACAAAAGTCCGATTCATGATAAAGAGTCCGTTTGCGAAGAAAGTGGTGGTGGTGGTTAAGGGTTAAGGGTAAGATTGTCCGTGTGTCCATGCGCTGGGACGGTCGATTACATGTTCGCCTCTAAACTATTGACAGCAACGATCGAAGAGGATGGCGGCGAGCTTTGGCGGAGCTCGCGGCGAGTGAACTGCAGCAGCGCGAATTGGCATTGTGTCTTCCTCCCCCCCCTTGGTTTTCACTGTGTGGTACTGCGTGTTATTTACTCACACATGAGTGTTTGTCTATGGATGCAGGAAAGCTTAACGTGTCTCTGTTTCGCTACTGTCTCTATTGTCAACGGAGCTACTTCCGGCGTATTTTGACGGGCGACTGATCATATATCCACAATTTTCTCGAGCCACAAGTTGCCGCACAAGACAACAACGGTCACTGGAACAGCTTGAATCACACAAAGGTTCTCATTCACTTCGACTCGGAGGCAAGACGCCCCCATAACAGGCCCCCACCTAATGACAGGGCGCCGTCTCCCTTTGCAAAGCTCCACCGATGCCAATGCCTGCCGTCCTACCGAAATGCCCTGGTCTTCCTATGCATCATCGTCTGCCTCGAATACCTACATGTCTGCCCTTTATGGCCCCCCCCCCATTCAGGGGGGGGGGGG